GGCGAAGGAAATAAGTTTCTTTTCCTCTGTGTACCTGCAGCCAGCCAGTGCAAGGAAGAAGGACGGCGTGGCAAACCCTGCCTACTCGTCACAGGCTAGTCAGAAGGGCGCGAACGTCCCCCCACCCGTCCCGCCACGTCCGGGGGAAGAGCCCAACTACTACAGCTCCGCCGACCCAGAGGACATCTACATGGAGCTCGATGGAACTCAGCAGCGCAGCCTGTATAGAAAAGGCACATCGCAAGGTGGCGCTTATACCTCATTGAATGCAACTTCACCGGCGGAGAAAGACAAGGGAGATGCCAGCAAAGGCCCCGAACCGCCCGCACCGCCACCGGTCGGTTCTATACCAGGGTACGAGGGTGTGTATGTGGATCCACAGCCCGGGGAGGCAGGTCTTCCCGCTGATGCAGACTATGAAGGCTACATCGTGCCAAAATCTGAAGAAAATGAGTACTTGGACCTGAACGGAGGGTCTTCAAACTTGTGATAAACGCCCATGGTTTATTTATGGCGCCTTTTACATGAAAACAAAGCTGGGGAAAGCGTAATTTTGACAAACTGTACTCACCCTTGAGTCTATGGTGTTCATTAGGTCGTTGAAGGTTCTTGATATATCTGTGTAATGTACTTATCATCTTAAATGTTGCAATATGTAAGATTTTGATACTGTATATATTGTGGTGAAAGAATCTTAAATTTGATGAAACAATATTATTACTATGTATATACAAACATACTACTGCTGGAAGTATTGCTACGTAGAATCATTAGTAGAACGCATAGGGTAACCTCGCGTTTTTGCGGTTTCTTTGACATTCCCAATTCTGTATCGGCAATCAGATCATCTTATTTATTCTGCTCTCTTCTGTATAAAGTAAACAGAATTGACAAATTGAGGTGCAGAAGACCATGCTGCAATATGGTCATTTCTTGAAATTCAATAACAAAATGTCAGCGAAGCAATGTTGGAATATCTCGTTGTCTTTAGTTAGGGCGTGGTAACATACATGTTAGGTCATGCTTCCATGGATGTGGTTTACAAAAAGGTGGCATGCATGGTGGCTTTGAAAAGGTGCCCTAACATGAACACCTGTTCCACCATGCCATGCATTACTTATTCATGTGGAGAATTTACAAATGAATAAATAAAATCCTTCAGTCTGCTGACAGAAAAGATGAAATACGTAGATCCTTGTGCTGATGATGTCTCTCACCGTTTAGAGTGTACACTACTTGTTGTCACGTAAACATGATGCAATGAAGCGTTTCCCGTGTTTTCACCCTTCCTTTGTCATACAGGATAACGACCTGCGTGTACATATCGTTCAGCACTAAAGACATCTGCGTTTGCCTGTGTGTGGATGGCGTTCAGCACCAAGGACAAATGCGCTTTCCTATGTGTGAGTGGTGTTCAGCACCAAGACTAGGTACATTTGCCTGTGTGTATGGTGTTCAGCACCAAGGACAGGTGCGTTTGCTTGAGTGTGGATGGTGTAAAGCCCTGCACGAAGGAGCCATGGTCCGAGTCCTAGGCAGTGGAAGTAAGTCAGACCCGTTCCAAGTCTGCACAGGTGTCCGACAAGGGTGCGTCATCGCTCCAGTAATTTTCAACTTGTTCCTCGCCGCAGTGATGCTAGCAGCTAAGAAGCGCATCAACCCCGAGGACTGCATCTCCCTCACATACAGATTGGACGGTAATCTGTTCAATCTGCGCAGGCTGAAAGCCCACACAAGAGTCACACATGAGGAGGTACTAGAGCTGCAGTACGCAGATGACGCAGCCATCACTGGCCATACTACCGCAGGTCTACAGAAAAACTTAGATATACTAGACGACACGTACACACGAGCTGGACTCCTCATAAACTGTGGCAAAACAGAATCAATGGACCAGGGCCATCGGGAGTCTGAGCCTGCTACGTTCCACATCAAAGACACGCCCCTTAAGAACGTCCCAATCGGGTGATATCTCTGATGAAGTCCAGAGACGTATAGGTCTCGCCTCTGCATCCTTTGGGAGTCTCGCCAATAGGGTGTTCCTGAACAAGGACCTCATAACCAAGACAAAAGTCGCGGTGTATAGGGCAATCTGCCTTTCGATCTTACTGTACGCATGCGAGACTTGGACAACATACAGACGACACATTCGCATGATTGAGCAGTTCCACACGAGATGTCTCCAAAGAATACTCGGCTTGAAGTGGTGGCACAAGGTCCCACATGGCGAAATCCGCCGCAGAGCACACGTGGAACCGCTGGAAACACTGCTCCTCCAGAGACAGCTAAGATGGGCCGGTCACGTCATTCGCATGCCCGGCAACCGCCTCCCGAGACATATTCTGTACGGAGAACTCACCAACGGCAGCCGCTCTGTCGGTGGCCAGCACAAGCGGTACAAAGACAACTTGAAGACAAATCTCAAGAAGTGCGGTTTGCAGCCTCACCGTCTAGAAGAAGCTGCTGCGGAGAGAAGTAGGTGGACGCCAGGAGTGCGCTACAGGAATCATCACATATACAGCAGAGTACAACCGCCTGCGCGAGGAGCGCAGACAACGACGACACCAGCCCCCGAGCAGCACGGGAGAGCACGCATGCGACGTCTGCGGACGGACCTGCCTCTCCAGAATAGGACTTGTCAGCCACAGAAGGACACACAGAAGTGACGTCATCGTCGGCAACGACGGACAGCCTTAAGCAAAGTAAGCAATGCTGATGTACGTTCCTCAACCACAAACCACAAAATGGCTGCCGGTTAATGTAGACCACCTGTATTGCCACAATCTGCTCTGATTTCTGTCGTTACTAGTATATCATTTTATACTTGTATATGATATGTTGCTTGTACATTTGTGCATTTCAACAGTTACCAATTGTAAATTTCTTTTATTATTTACTTATGTATTTTGTATGTTGCGTGGAGACGACTAGCTGATGTGAGTTTTCACCTGTTTTGTCTCTCTCTACATTTTGTAAATATAAAAGTGTGAAAAATGAATAAGTAACGTTCTATTAACACCAGAATGTGCAAATTCACGGAGTAGAGAGTCTTTGGGTGTGCTTATTAAATGATGCCGGTATTTGATAGCTGGTATTCGTATCCCTACCTTAATCATGAATGGAAAAGTTCCTATTTCTCCACGAACTCCGTCATTTGATAACTTGGCATGTAGTTTTGATTTCAAGATGTTAACTTTTTAAAGAAATTCTGAAACCTCATTTATTCATGCATGCATGTCAACAGTCTCGAACTCTGGTATATGTTATGTAGAGGTGACTCGAATGTTCCAGACGTAAACCTCATCTTAAGCTTGTCCTTACATCTAATTTTGTCTGTAAAAGTATGATATTAGTGAAAGTGAGGTCAGAATTACGGAAGCTGTAGACCGTCTAGCAAGACGAACAGAGCCCAAGTACTAGTACATGCCCTCACACACTTGGCAATTTGAATGTAACGTTAGATTTCAACTAGAATTCAGTGACTTTACGACCTCCGCGAACAATTTTAGATTTTCCTTCACAATTATGCATCTAATCTTCCATTTATATATTTAAAATGTGTAGAATACACACTCCGTACTGTAGAGATTTTGCATGAATCATATCAGTTGATCATATCCACCCGATGACAGGTACAGGTGTTGTGTGAAAATGTGTGTCTGTGTTGTTTATTGAATGAATGAATGAATGAATGAACAAGAGCTCCACGACTTCATACCTTCCAGTGGGTGAATTATACAGTTTTACTCATTTATTTCGTAAATTAGAGCCTCATTTGCATGAATCATATCAGTTGATAATATTCTCCGCCCAATGACAGCCTTAAGAAAGAACGTTATTCTAACATCTCCTTATAGATTATGCAAATAAGGTCATGACTTGAATAAATCATGTTAAATAATGTTCACCTCCACTTAACTTCCAAACACGGCAAGTATTCAATTCCCAGCAGTTATCATTATTACATTATAGCAATTTCCCACTTATTATGCAAATTAGATGAACTTACATAATCAACATCTGCCAATTATCCCCTTGTTATCAGTAACATGTGACACAAGTACTAGTGTTTAATAGTCCTATCATGGAACGAAGCTGATTTATACAATCTCGACCTTAGCATGTCTAGATCATGAGATATCAAACCGAAATTTCTGCTGCAGTGCCAAGGAAAGCCACCAGGGGCCCCAAAATATACCTACCAAGTTTCATGACAATCCATCCTTAGCTTCTTGAGTTGTGATGTTCACAAACAAACAAACAAACAAACAAACAAACAAACAAACCAAACAGAGAAACACTACTGAAAACCTAGAATGAGCAGGTATTGCAATAAAAACACCGAATATCAGAACGGAAACATCAAACATAACATAACATAACGGACGCAACACTGTTAGCTCAACGTTATCCAGTTCAGAAAGATACTCTTTACACCGCCTTCACTTACTGTCAACAACATTGAAGTTCAACAAGTGAAAGTGCTGAGAGTTCTCTCCAGGAAGATCTGAAATGAACAGTCGTATTTTAACAAAAACACCTTTCGTCCTGAATTGTGGAAATGAGATCCTCATTGAATAAGTTACGTTTAATGATGTTAGTCTGCAGTACCATAACAGGTTGCCAGGGGGGCCAAAATCTTTCCGAGGTCTCGTCATGACCTACCCACCTACCAAATATTAAGACAATCCATATAACGCTTTCTGAAGTTATCCTGTTGATAACATAACCTTCTGGGCGAAGGAAATTAGCAGAATTGGAAGATAAAGTTAACGTTACATGTATCACAAAACTTGTCATCACCACAGGTTCTGGTTTGGGCTATGTATCTGTTTGAAAATATTCAAAAGAGGATAACTTAAGAACCGGTTGACGTATCGTCGTGGTTTGTAGGTAGTATGTAAGTATCGTTGTATGTAGGTAGCTTATGTGATGCTTGATATAATTATGTGACAATTATGCAAATATGGATATAATTTGCATAATTTATGGGGAAATTCTATAAATCAGCTGCATTTCATTATAGGACTATTGAAGCTTGTGACATTGGTAATTGAGAACGAGAGAAAGACAGGCAGATATTGATTATGTAAATGAAGACTTAATTTGCATAGTTAATGAGAAAAATGCATAATTATGTAATGATAACTGCCTGGAATTTCATACTTGTGGTATCTGAAAGTTCAGTGAAGGTGAAAATCTTTAAACGTAATGTATTCAAATCAGGACCTCATTTGCATAATTTATGAGGAAATGCTAGAATGGCATTGTTTGTTAAAACATGACTGTCGTTTGGTTGAGAATATGATAAATTGATATAATTCATGAAAATGAGGATGCTATTTGCACAATCAGGGGGAATATTCTGCAAATTGTTAGTCATAAAGACTAACATCAATTGGCGAAGGTATGAGATCGGGGAACTCTAGTTAGAGAATGTTTAGATATTAGAAACTTTAGTACGAACGGTAGTTAAAACCATATTGATATTATAATGACGTTACCTATACCTTGCAATATTGTATTTTTGCATTATAATAGAACAATAGTAGAAGACCTTTCGGAAGTCTGTACTTTTTGTCAATAATGTTCCCCTATAATTTATAAATCCTGTAAGAGTGGCGAGTTCTAGCCTGATTTTGCACGGCACGCGTTCTCCATAAAACGAATGCCTGCTTGGTAAACTATTTGTCAAATCAATAATTCATGCCAGAGCTCTAGAGCGGTCCGTAGGGATTTTCGTGCACGATTTTTGAGGTCGATTATTCCAGGCGATCTTGTCGAGCGAGGCGGTAAATTACATGTACGTGGAACCGTTGGTATGACCGTGATAGCTGTATTTATAAATGCAGCAGTGTGGGCCGTACAGTGTTGTGAAAATAGGCATAATACAGTATAGAATGGTTACTGTGATAAGTTTTAAACATGCATTACAGTTGTCTCTGTCTCTGTACTCGTAGCTAGGTCTCGCCTAACTACACAGCGACATGGTATCGGGTGCCATAGACATGATGTCACTCTGGTGTTGTCTTTATGCACCATAAAGTGCTGTGCATAGAACGTTAGACATTTCTCGCGAGTATAATGAATTTATGTCATAAGTAGTAGTAAACATCTCATCTATACATCTATACATGTATCTATATACATTGTACGTGTATTTGTAAAGCAGATTCATCTAATAGGGCCAAGGACATGACTGATCACGCTGGTAAAAACGCTGACGTGAGTATCTGCACGCAGACGTTAGTATCTGCACGCAGACGTTAGTATCTGCACGCAGACGTTAGTATCTGCACGCTGACGTATCTGCACGCTGACGTATCTGCACGCTGACGTATCTGCACGCAGACGCATCTGCACGCAGACGTGAGTATCTGCACGCAGACGTGAGTATCTGCACGCAGACGTGAGTATCTGCACGCAGACGTGAGAATCTGCACGTTGACGTTGTATCTGCACGCAGACGTGAGTATCTGCACGCAGACGTGAGAATCTGCACGCTGACGTATCTGCACGCTGACGTGAGAATCTGCACGCTGACGTATCTGCACGCAGACGTATCTGCACGCTGACGTGAGAATCTGCACGCAGACGTTAGTATCTGCACGCAGACATGAGAATCTGCACGCAGACGTATCTGCACGCAGACGTGAGAATCTGCACGCAGACGTGAGAATCTGCACGCAGACGTGAGAATCTGCACGCAGACGTATCTGCACGCAGACGTATCTGCACGCTGACGTGAGTATCTGCACGCTGACGTGAGTATCTGCACGCTGACGTGAGTATCTGCACGCTGACGTGAGTATCTGCACGCAGACATATCTGCACGCAGACGTATCTGCACGCTGACGTGAGTATCTGCACGCTGACGTGAGAATCTGCACTCTGACGTGAGTATCTGCACGCTGACGTGAGTATTTGCACGCAGACGTGAGAATCTGCACGCTGACGTGAGTATCTGCACGCAGACTGTATTTTGTGAGGAGGACGCAGACGGAGCTTGTGAGACGTGATGGGAGCGAGGCAGATATTGGCACTGTGCGGTAGGTCTCACTGCGCATGTCAAAACATGGGCGGAGTAAGCTGATATGATTTGGAAAAGCCAAGCGGTGGCAAAAACCCTTCCACTGCCATCATAGCTTTTGTTGTTGCGTATGAGGACTGCTAGATAGATTTGACAACAAAAACGACTCTCCTGGTGTACTGTGTGACGTAAAATTCCCAGGTCCGTGGTGATTACTGGAACTCCGAGAGAGACGGTTGACCAGGGAAAAGGTAGGGAAAATGGCATCGATGTTGTTATCGATTTTTGCAGAGCATTACTTGTGCGGCTGTCACTGACGCAGGTAAGGCAGTATGGTGTTAAAATCGCGACAGTTTTACATGGTTCAAAACCGAAATCAAGGTCGGCTGACTGGTTGTGTCTTCCTGCAAACAGAGGTACGTTTTATCTGTTTCATCCAGGTTTCATGTAGGTGTTAATTCTAATACACCCAGGCACAAAATGAGTACCGCAGCTTCATATTTGCTAAGTCAAGACTTGTCTGAATGGTGGCAGCAGGCAGCTGACGGGCTATGTCATGACCGAGCCCGGGTGCGACGCAGGCATGTTGGCCGCGTCAGATTTCCCATTCCGGGCACGTCTGCTGTGGTGACCCACATCAAATTTCGCCTACGTACATACCGGCGGCCAGGCTGGCAACGCTAGATGTTCATCCTCTTATTTACAGGGCAGTCTGCCGTGTGGCTTATCAGAATAAGTCAGAAAATATAATTTTGATGTGTATCAAGTCGATACAGTCCACCAAACACTCGTTTTCTATACATGTATTATGGACTTCAACAGTCTTCTTCCGGCACACACTATCCCGTGAAATAGATATTACAAGAATGTATGTATGTATGTATGTATGTATGTATGTATGTATGTATGCATGCGTGTATGTATGTATGAATAAAGACATAATGATTGTATTTTTCTCGGATTCTGAACTGAAAAAAGTTTACTCGGCAGCCCACATTTCATGTTGTTTTTTTGACGTCCCCTTGATTATAGCTGTTATTATCCTTTCCGTCTACAGACGATATCGGTTGATTGACAACATCGAAACAAACTGTAATTAAGTATCCAGAATAATACCGAAGTGCTGTATATCAAATCTCTCAAATGATTCCACATAATATATTCCACATAATATAATATTACATATTTGTAAATATGTAATACTACAAATTTATGTATATCTACATGTATAATGTATAATTTTAATGCTGCTATTTTAAAATTGCAAATTCGTAAATGATATCAATGTAAAGAAATGGTTCTCTTAAGGTTTTTAATCTTCTGTGTAATTCGATAATGTTTTTTATAAATTAGCGCTAATTCAGATTTGTCGGACATCTGCCAAATGCTGATAAAGCTTTCTTATGTTCTTATGTTTCACCTGTAATGTAAGTGTTCACCTGTAATGTAAGTGTTCACCTGTAATGTAAGTGTTCACCTGTAATGTAAGTGTTCACCTGTAATGTAAGTGTCCATCTGTAATGTAAGTGTTCATCTGTAATGTACGTGATCACCTGTAATGTAAGTGTCCATCTGTAATGTAAGTGTTCACCTGTAATGTACGTGTTCACCTGTAATGTAAGTGTTCACCTGTAATGTACGTGTTCATCTGTAATGTAAGTGTTCACCTGTAATGTAAGTGTTCACCTGTAATGTACGTGTTCACCTGTAATGTAAGTGTCCATCTGTAATGTAAGTGTTCACCTGTAATGTACGTGTTCACCTGTAATGTAAGTGTTCACCTGTAATGTACGTGTTCACCTGTAATGTAAGTGTTCACCTGTAATGTAAGTGTTCACCTGTAATGTAAGTGTTCACCTGTAATGTACGTGTTCACCTGTAATGTACGTGTTCACCTGTAATGTAAGTGTTCACCTGCAATGTACGTGTTCACCTGTAATGTAAGTGTTCACCTGTAATATAAGTGTTCACCTGTAATGTAACATTTTACTTTATTGAGTAGACAAAAGCTCAGAGACCTCAACATGCATTCATGCAGATAGTGAATAACGAAAAAATAACGAAACGTCCGTTAATGAATTGTTTCAATTTGATCCAGTGGTAAAGTTTGGATCACAACTTTATCTATATCCCTGTATGGTTAATCTTCACAAACGAACGAAAAAGATATCTTGACATAAAATGACGTACTCGTACATCTGTGTTTTGTTACAAAAGGACATCTTCGTTGAGATTACATAAAACACACACTGTTCATCACACTCTCTAGTCTTTACATATAACAGGAGGTATCCAAAGGGCTTTCTGGCCCTAAGGTGGGACTGGTTTGAATTTTTGTTGAGATATGCATGGATGACTGCACATGATCATACATATGAATAAATCTTTATACTAGTAACTGCAATCGGGAGCATGCGCTGAAGCAGAACAGAACAGATTATTCATCGGTGAATACTGAATCATCATCGTAGAATACTAAGTATATACAAAGATGCCACCATATATAGGAAAGATATTTATCAAACCTAATGAAAAACACACCTGGCTCTGTCTTTTGGCTCTGTCTTTAACGCTGGATAATAGCAGTTCGAAATGGCGACCAATAGCCAATACTATACCATCTGTACCAGTCAGCTTTGAGTAAGGCAACTGAGCAATGTCAACCCATCAGTAGTGGGCGGAGCATTTCACATTGGACACTGCCTATAGCTATCAAAGACGAAACAATCTCGTAGCTTTTTCTGCTGAAGAACATATGAATAAGACCATGATTCAAGGAATCCGGGAAAGAACCATCAGGGAATCCGGCCGCGGAACAGACTACAGCAGGCTGATGTAAACAATGTGCTGTCAGCGGGCTTCACTAGAGCCTGTATAAGCCTGTCGTGACACGCGTGTTCAGTGTTACCAATATTTCGAAGTGTTCTTTTCCAACATCTTTATAGCTTTGTACGATCGAAGGTGGACTTTTTCGACGTCAACTCAACATTAAAGAGGGTGTAAAGTTACTACAGCAATTATCACCCGACCTATTGCATATTTTGTGATAGCGCCCTGTAACTTTATTTAGGAAGGGGTTTTGTATGCTATCTTTAAAAGCTGTAACAGTTGAGGTAAATATAATTGGCAACCTTTTTGCAGATACTCTAAGCGAACTTTTATAGCAATCTACCAGTGACCCCATCCGAAGGCAACCCCTCAACGCAGCCGTTTCCGAAAACAACCATAAAATACCCCCAAACAGGTGTTAGCACTTGTTTTTGAGTTGTTTTGGATTTGTTATTGGTTGTTTTTGGCTATTATCTTCGCAAAGAAGGTTGGTTGAGCAGCATTTCTGGATTTTTCCCGTACCTTCGACAGGGTGTGGCACTCATCAGGACGTATCTTTAAAAACAAAACGCTACAGAAGGACCACTCATTGACACCTTGCTAACAGATCACGGCGCGTAGTCATATCGATGACAAGTCTTCTGTCTATGCCATAACGCTGGGGTTCCGCAGGGTTCAATACTTGCAATTGGTCATCTATTTTTCCTTGTCTATATAAATGTCATTGTAAATGGTCTTGCTTCCCTCCCATTCCTCTTTGCCGACAACAGTTCCCTCCTCCATATTGTTGACGACCTCGATTCCGCCGTTAAAATTCTGACCTGTCTAAAATGAACCACCCAGTGGGTCATGGAGCTAAATCCTGCAAAATCGGAAGAAACATCCTCTAGTCCAACCACCTCTTTTTCTTAATTTTTTAACAACTATGTTGTAAAGTCTGTTCCACAAGCATATTGGATCCATCTGAACTCCAACATGTCCTGGAATTCCCACATTAACCACATTTCTATCCAAAGTGTCGACCTTTTAGTGGCCTTCAATTCAAACTCCCGCGCCTTACCCTCAAATCCCTTCACAAATCTAGACAAGACAATACATACATACTCACTGTCTAGAATACGGCGACGTCATTTAGCATGGAACGACAAGCGAGGAAGCTCAACTTGTCCTACATGTACAACACCAGTACTATTGTGCCCTTGTCGTGTCTGGTGCCAAAAAGGGCTCGTCATACCTGTCAACTCGGCAGGAACTTGGGAAACACTATGAGATAGAAGACATGTTCATCGACTGTTTATTTAATAGAATTGTTCACGGTTTGACTCGTAATTACCTGTCCGAACTGTTACCCGCAGCCATTTTGTCAACATGTACCTACGTTCGACTGACGTAACAAGGTGAACCTAAGATTCCCTAATTACTCGACAGATCGTTTTGCTAAGTCCTTTGTCCCGTATTCCACACACCACTGGAACAATCGTGTATATATAGTGGACAATCCATAATGAAATGTTGTTCGTCTTCAATATCATAGGGACAAAATGGAAAAAAAAAAGATGAATGATCAATCTACAGGAGTAAAACGGGAAGCTTGAAAATTATACAGGTGATGAAATAACGAACAAAGAATCAATGATGCACATAATTATATAGTTTTGACATAGAAAAACAGGGTCTGATAGACAGGATATAGAACAGAGCTAGATTTGATATGTTTGTGACATTATACATGCAACGAACTCACCACATGTTAATATTTCTTGTTTTTTTATTTGTTCGCAGTGGTCTAGACCACCGGAGACGCTTCCAAGCAATTCCACTGTACAGAATCAACCCTTAACATGTTGGCATCGGCAGGACGAGCGTCTTTTGCAGTGTGTATCGCCCTCTGCTGTACTTTGGTGGTCTCAGAGATCGTCCACAACCCGATCAGACACAGACAGATCAGCCGGTATGAGGGCCACAGGGCGCAGAAACCACCGCAAGCCGCGGGCCCAGCAGCCGAACCCAGGGCCGAAAAGTTAGAGATGAAGAACAGTCTCCGTGTGGAGAACCTGACATCTTCTCAGGTCAGACACTAAGAAAAACTAACCAGGAAGTGTTTGATTTTAGCCTAGGTACCTTCCTGGTTAGTGTAAGTCCCCTCCGACACCCCCTGTATTAATAGCCCACTAGAAAGGCCAAATTTGTATATCACAAATGGACTATCCCAACATCACCCCACTCAGAAATAGAACTTTTGAATTTGAACTATTTTGAATTTGAATTTCATATATCTCTTATGTGAAAGTCTTGTCCCTTGACAAGGTTTTGTTCCTACATTTTATCATCTATTATGCAAATGACCCCCATATTAACATGATAAATGTATAGTGATGTTGACCTATGACTAACTTAGACATCATTTATCAATACGGAATTTTTGCATCAATTATGCAAATTTGGTGTGCGCATGCAAATTTCCATAATTTGTATCTGTTAATGTTCCACTTGCCATAGATTCAATACATTACATTTATTTAAGTCCTACATGTGTATTATGTACAACAATGACATTTTTAAAATTTCCTTATTATTCATGCAAATTAAGACTCCTATTATAAAGTTACATTTAATAAATGAAGATACCAAAAACGGACATTCTGCTGCAGTACCAAGGTCAGCCACCAGGAGGCCCAAATTTGACCTTGACCTTGCCGAGTCCTACCAAATATTATCACAATCCCTAAAGGCCTGATCAAGTTATGCTGACCACAAGTATGCAGAAACAAACACACACACACGCACGCACACACACACACACACACAGACACACACACACACTCACACACACACACACACACACACACACACAGACACACACACTCACACACACACTCACACAGACACACAGACACACACACACACACACACTCACACAGACACACACACACACACACAGACACACACACACACACACACACACACACTCACACACACACACTCACACAGACACACACACACACACAGACACACACACACTCGCACACGCACACACACACACACACACACACATTCGCTTGATTCTTATGTAGGTACATGTAATAATAGCTCAGGAATGTATATCAGAATGTAAATATAATTGGAACATGATTAATTTGTTTCTAACGACAGATCACAGCCACGTCAGTGCGACTTCGCTGGGACGTCAGTGGAAATGACAGCTTCCCCGGCTATCGGATAGAACATGAGATGATGGACAGTGAGACCGTCAGGGTGCGAACCAGCGACATTTATGGCGAGTTCCGCAGCTACACACTCAAAGGACTTTATCCGAAAACAAGGTAGGCACAATCGATGTCAGACACATGTCAGACATTAAAATGTCTATATATCTACACATATGTATGTATACACTTAATTTGCTCTCTAGTCTTTCTAGTTAGTTCTTGATATCTTTTTTAGAATCTTTGACGAACCTTTATGTAGCGATTGTACATTTTACATTAATCTTGAATCCATTGTAATCTAATTGTCACTTGAGCTGTCTAATTAAGATCTTAAAAAGTATCCTTATAATGTTTTCAACAGATACCGCGTGTGCGTCATGCCATTGATGTACAGTTCCGCCGGCCTGACTTCTCCAATCGTTATTCACAAGCGAAAGCAGTGTGTCGTGATCCAGACAAAAGACGAGACGCAGGACAACCAGGAAATGTACATTCAAATAGGCATGGGCTGTGCAGCTGGTAAGATCTTTTTCTACACGCAAACACGGTGCACCTAATCGTAAAACATTATCAATCATAAACTTAAACTGAATACCTTAGACACCTAGTTGTTATGAAGGCCTAGATGTAGACCTAGATAACAAACACCTACAAATACACCTTCACACCTTCACCCACTTTACACATCCAATTTTGCGACGTCGGGACTGGGGATATTATCATGACAGGTGATATCAGGGACCGTCTTTTCCCACCATGCCACAGAGATCCACACGACACTTTCGTCACAAGTCTGGAAAGCTCAAGCACATTTGTAAAGCCATGTTGAGTGGGCTCTAGCCTGGGTACCATCCTACTTGTATGCTGGGGCTCCTACACTCGCATCCATAAAAAAGTTAGGGAAGCGAGTGTGGGAGCCCCGGTATACGAGTAGGATGGTACCCAGGCTAAGTGGGCTCATGGTATCAGGGAGAAACTTAGGACTTACGCAAGTCTACATATTTTGTAGTGAAGTGTCAGTCACCAACTTTATTGTTTGCTTTTTTCAGGTACTATTTTGAAGTAAAAATATAACTATAAACAGTTATTATAATACTGCTTTAATGGCATGCTTTGGGATACGGAAAATATCCTGCTGTAGTAACAAGATGTGATTAAGTCCATATAGGCTATTTAATTGCATGGGCAGCAAAACATTAGCTGTGGAAACTAGGATAAAATTGTCCAGATCAATGCCAATCTATCCGGCTTGATCTGGACAATTTTATCCTAGTCGGAAAAGGACCTGACAGCCACACCTACACCTGCGTCATAACTACATGTACATTGTACACTACGCTACACTTAAGCCTTGTTCATGTGAAGTCACCCAAACCGCGATTCGGGTAACTCGCATTCCTCACATCTGGTCCACGTGCCACACATTCCTTTGAAACCGTGTCCGATCACAATGTGCTTGAGCCACATTTATTGTTGTTTGATGAAAACACGCAAGGTAGCGTGTTATTTATGTCAGAGGTCAACGACCTGCTTGCTGATCCCCCCACCCAGCGTATCTCGGCCGAATGCCGACGTGGTCCCGCCAGAGGCGGTGAAGCTCGCCCTAGAACGGACACATTATTTGACCATTACTGCTCTTTAAGCTGCTGCCACGTAAAAGTTGGTATTGCATATGAATAAAGAAATATCACCCCGTAATCCATGACCAGGCGAAGTTACATTGAAATCACATTGCGTTCAGATGCAAATCGCGATGCGGGAAAACCGATTCGAAACCACCTCTAGAAGCGGTTTGGGATCGAGGTGCTTTCAATGTGATTTGGAGCGTTCAGATGGAGCCACTTGAAACCGGCTTTGGGGTAAACTGACTTCACATGAACACGGCCTTAGTTACCTGATACATCCACCTGCACCTGATACATCCACCTGCACCTGATACATCCACCTGCACCTGATACTTCCACCTGCACCTGATACATCCACCTGCACCTGATACATCCACCTGCACCTGATACATCCACCTGCACCTGATACATCCACCTGCACCTGATACATTGTCATTTGGTACAAAAAGGCACAAGTTGTGCCTGGACGGTGCCACATGTGTACTCCAACCACAGACAGAACACAAATGACAACAATCTTGCAACTAATTTTTCTAAACCAGTCATTCTATCTCCAACTGAGACAGTCTGCAGCACGGAAAAAGCAGGTCTGATCTCAATACGACTTCTAGCCACGAGCTACGCCCAGGCCCAACTTATTGCTAATAAAAAAAAAAGATTGTAAAAAAAGTAGTTTTCAGAAGTTATAGAAAATATGATTGAGGGTTTCTACGTATTCTTTCATTGTTGAAGCAGGAGTTGCTCTTTGTTTTGTTCAATGAAAAATTCCTTTCAAAATTTGATTTGAACAGGGTCTTGTGCGTGGTCCGCGGCAGAGGTCAAGGGTCAAGCTAGGCACTCTGGGAGGAGCCTTGCAAATTTTGATCAAGATTTCGGGCCATGGGAGACACAGGAGGAAGATGATGAGAACAATGACTTGTATATCGTATTGGGTACAGGTTCTGCTATAGGTAAGGACTGATGCACTGAAAAATGTTGGCCAACACAATGTGATCAGAGCTGTGTGCATCTATATACTCTTGTGTTGAAGTCATGCCATGAAATCTATAAACTTAGACAATTTTGTCAGTAAAATGATAGATTTTTACCCATGAAGAGTGGGTATGGCATGACTTCAAGCAGAGCATTGGGAGAGCCCTGATATTCAGGACACAGCTCAATTGTCCATTGAATTGGTTTTAAATAATCTATCTCGAGATTTCTATTTTCAGGCCAAAAATCTATATTTTGTGTTCCTGCATCATGAGGTGGAAGCCAATGACCTAGAATTTGGTATCCTTTAGCACTAGATAGTGGCACATAATTTAAAAACTGAACTGCCCTCCCCATTTAAGAATGGACTCTTCTAGCAAGTCTAGGTGGTAAGAAAAATAGAAATTTGACTTCATTGACATTCCTTAGCAATGATGATAAGTAAGTATTGGATAAAACAGTTTCTAAAATAGGCCTAACATTTGCTCATGGGCATATTTCACTCCATTCTCTCCCCCCAACATGAATAATGATACATGAATAATAATAAAGTGGTGTATGGAAAAAGTATGAATGAGGTCCCGTGGGCTTGTGTCATTGGCACCTTCATGCCAAATTTCAAGTCATTTGCTCTTAATATTTGGGCATAAGAAACTAAATTTGTACATTTTAGTCTAAAAATAGCCCCAAAGTCCCAAAATGGAGAAGGAAGAAACACTGAGTAAAACAGTATATTTCATTTAAAAAATCCATTGGAAGCTTCAAACATAGCCAAAATGTTATTTCTGAAACATATCCTATAAAATGTACTTCAAGGGACAAATATACAGCAAGGAAACAACATCCTAACTTCTACAAACATTCATTTCATAGAGTTTGAATTGTCATCTAATACTTTGACATTTGCAGACCTTCAAACATTGTAGCCCGAAATGTAAATTTTCACACTTGTCCAAATCATGACCTACTTTTAAGCACAAATGCACAGCAATGAAACAAGGCCAATTCTGGGGTCAGCAGTGTGTATGTGGATTTTAGCGCGATTTTAGTCAATCACTGATGAAATTGTTAGTTTCCAGCATGCTTCTTTAATTGCCGCCATTCCTTGTGTATGAACTGTGTTGACAGGATGTCTGGAATCTGACACTTCTTCCATAACCCTCCAGGATTGCTCTTCCTGCTCGTGCTGTGCGCCATCTTCTGTAAGTGGGACAAGGACCTTGGCAAGGGCGGCATTAAAGTACCAAGGTTCCATCCAAAGAAGATCAACAAGCGCAAGAAGTCCAAGAAGCGCACTGGATCCAAGGAGGAACTAGCCCGAACACCTGGATCTCACCACGGATCCCAGAACCTGTAACACGTCACATTCTACCACTCACTACAGCAGCATGGAGATCAGTTCAGATATCATGCACACTGATCAGTTCAACTGTCACACATTGAAATGCAGGTAGTTTTCACAGTACCTGATGATAATTATTCTCATTCATCATTTTATACATGTCCAGAACAGTTATGGACATGTTTCAAGACTTCATCAGTGGACTAAAGGAGATTTTCCTGCCCTCGGACGACATCAGAGTGGAGAATTTGATGAATCAGTGCAGCAGAATGGAATATTGTAATTATTGTTTTGTTCCACCAAATGCTTAATGTGTATCATATTAGTACTTAGTTATGATAATTGCTAGGAAGGTCTAGATAATGTTACTTTTTGACAGGTTTACTGGAGAACAATCCTAGATCCATGGTGTACAAGGATAAGTTTACCCTCCTCACAGGTTCTTTCTGCTGTACATTTGTTTCAACTACATGTAACTAGAGTGGTTGTCCTCAGCTGCTACACTGCTTTCCTCATCATGACTTCCTGCAGCGTTTATTTCAATTTTTAATGTAAAACGGGAGGCAAAACACCTGTACACAGCTTTACAAGTTGTGAAAAAAGCTGTAAAAAAAACTTGATAAATTTCAAGATTATGCTTCCTGATAAATCCTTCTGCACTGGCAACATTACTGTCAGTGACATATATGTACATGTATACTATTCCTGCTGTTCAAACCCCAGGGAGAGTCATTTTGAAATGTGACGAAAAAGAACAAGCAATACCACATGTCTCTCCGTTTACTGTACAAGGTACAGACAGCAGGGAAACAGGTGAAGTTATCATATTTTAAATGTTACAATTCAGGCAACTCATACGGCCATAAAAGGGACAATACATTCTTTTCAATTGCATAAAAGAATGATATTGTTACAATTTTTGGGCCATTTATAAGTTGCCATGATAACATTGCAGTGGGAACATGTATGCTTGGACAAACCATGCCAAAACCACAAAACTTTTCTTCCAAGAAGCATTGTTACCTGTATCATTCAAATGTATTTTGTGCCTTTTTTGAAAGCTCTGAGAGCAGATCTAGAGTTCATATCAGACACGATGTACTGTAATGTTTTTTGCAATTGTGTAGTTTTCAAAGTAGAATTATGGTACAATGTTTAATCCATGCTTTATAACACCACAATAACCATTCTTAAACGGTGTTACCTGTCCAGTGGAAGTCCCTTTTGGGGGCCTAACAAATGATTTTTGAATGAAAGTGAAGGAAGGAAACTGGACTTACGTAAGAAGAGGGTCTGCATGCCCTTTTTCGTTAACCGTTATGGGCTATTTTAATTTACCGTTAATCGTTGCCGGCCCGCTCTAATTCAACGTTAAGCGTTATCAGTATATTCCTCGTGAAGCGTTATTGGTCGTTTTAATTCAACGTAAAACGTTATTTGTAGTCATAAATTCAGCGTTAAGCGTTAATGAATAATTCTTCGTTACGCCTAATTTTGCCTTTCAATGTGCAGGAAAATGCGTCATTGATGGTTTAAAAATACAAAATTTCCCGGGGGAGATGCCCCCGGACCCCCCTTCATTGCTCGCGCCTTTGGCGCTCGACTCGCGCTTCTGCGCTCGGTCCCTTCGGCTGTAGCCAGAACCAGCTTTCCGAGAGAGTTACAGAATTTTTTTAACGAATCCGTCAACCTTGACAGGCAAATTAACAAAAATCTTGAGTTAATATGAAAACATCAGAAGGACCAACAACACCATGATTTGCCTCCTAAAATGCGGGAAATTGCTTTTTTGAAGGCTTAAAAATCCTAAATTTACAAAATCCAGTGCAGCTCGAAAAAAAGCCTGTCAATTTACCGTTAAGCGTTGCCGACCGTCCTGAATTTACCGTTAAGCGTTATCGGCCCTGCTGAATTTACCGTTAACCGTTGTCAGGACCCCCCCATGCAGACCCTCTAAGAAGTGATATGATTTGGCCATGACTGCAATAATATCTACAAGGGTGTATCATAGATACCATTGTTTCTGTCCCAGAGGGATATGGGTAGTCCAGTGTGAAAGTGCAAATGTGTAACTGTCTAAAATTACAAAGCACATGCACATGTATGTGTCTGCAGCATAAAATATAGCCTGAGCAACATCCTCACAAGGAGAGTGCAAATTAACAAGGATGGTTCAGAGGCTAAAAAAAGCCTTTTCTTAGTGACCAAAAGGAGAAATTTGCATTTTGCATCCAAAAGAATAGACATTGTCCAATCCACTAGGTCTTGATTCCTGGGCTAAGTGAGACAGCTGCCATGTCACAGAGTAAGGAACAACGCTTGCTTAAAATGAAATGACAAATTCAGATATTATCATATATATATACATATATATATACTAGATGACATTATATGTATCGAGGAGATTTTAACCTTCTTGTATACATGAAACCTGTGGCGTCAGATGGCCAAGAAGTGGATATGAGATCACAGGTTTGTCATGATAATGTCATGGGTTTGATCCTTGGCACTCCTGGCTAGACGTTGTGTCCTTGGGAAAGGCACTTTACACAACTTTCCTCACTCCACCCAGGTGTAAAATGGGTACCTGACTTTGGTTGGGGAGGTAAAAGGCAGTGGAAGGGGAGGGTTGGCTCCACCTTCCCTTACCTTCTCGTACTAGCTTCTATGGCCTCAAAAAACGCTATGGGACCTTTACCTTTTTAATCATAACAAATATGGCTATAACTATTTCAAGCAATTGAATGTAATGTTGCATTGCTTTGCTAGGTAGAAATTTAAAAAAAATTTATATATATATATATATATATATATATATATATATATATATATATATATATATATATATATATATATATATATATATATATATATATATATATATACATGTACTTCGAATTGACATTACGTCTGTCTGTCTATATATATTGCACCATTGTACTCCTGTACAAGTAGATGTGAAGCAGCAAGTCCAGAGCACGTATGGGACATGGAAGATGTTGTGATGCATTTGTCTGCATGTAGCTTACAGTAATCTGTCTATAAAGTCAGTCTTGTCAAGCAGATGCACAAAGGCAAACCCTTGGGCTACACTTAAATATTGTAATAGAGCATAGAAGGAAATGTTCTTGTAGAAAAATCATAGCAGCTTTATAATGAAGTTAAGGACTACCTCTTAGCAAGTTAACTACCAGTCACTGCAGCCTAGCCTGTGCCTGTTACAACAGTTACCCCAACTTTTACAAGCCAACCTCATTCCACAGGGACTGCTACAAGTACTTGTCTGCTATTTACCACAGTCTCTGACTGGAACTCAGTACCATACGACAGAACGCAACCAACTTGAAGGATAATTGGTCCATCTACACAGAAATTGCAGCAATAACAGGGCAGCACACCCCCACAGGCACTTCACTCCAGCTGAGGGGTGTTGCCACGTATCCAAACAAGTAAATTATGAGGTGCAAAAGCCTTGCAAAAGTTCCAGTCAGATACACTGTGGGATACAGCTACTACTGGAAGAAATTTGATGTCTAAACATTACGATGAAATAAATGGCTTTGCACCCTTATCTTTAAATCCTGCAGTTGTCGTTCACTTCAGTCTATCCAAATCATCATTTTCAGTCTGCTGCCATCCAAAAATCTGACTTGTCACAAGTTGTCCTGTCAATTTGACACACTCACTACCCATAGAGAGAAGCTTTGCCTAGGAGTACTTTAAAAACTTTGTTATTGTCTGTTTTTCTATAGAAAGCAATGCTTGCAGAAAATGCTGGTCCCTCCCTTTTTCTAAAAGGTAGTTACACATTTACTGACACATTTACTGACAACACATAGACTTGCAAACATAAAGTAACAAAATACGCTTGTAGTAAACAGCAATTTTAATTCCAAAAACTACAAGTAGGCAGCCTATATACTCCAATGTACCTCACACTGGTTGTACAATATGCAGGTACATGTAAGCTAACAGCAGCTATCAGTACTCTTTCTGCAAAATGAACTTGCAGAATTTGCTGTTACCAAACTGTGAATTAATCAATGGTAAAGGAATTTTCAAACATACATGATAATGTCATTTCATATTGTAATTATTACTAGCACCACAATTTCATTTCTTAACATATGAATGTCATCCTGGCCATCATGAATTTCAAAGGACAAATCTGTTCTACTTCAGACAAAACAAATCTAGGTAAACATGGTAATTGCCAAAATGGCAACAGCTACATGTACATGTACATGTAATGTGCAACATTTTGAAATTCTGAAAAGACCAGAAAGACTGTACACATGTTATCATTGATTTTGTTTCATTGTTGTTATTCATCAGGAAAGCATTTAAGTACCCACTGCTCCTTCAAACAACTAGATGAGTTAAAACTTTGGAATAGGTCTCAGGTACATGTGTACATGTATCTGTTCATTGCCCATTTTTGACATCTCACAGAAGAACTCAATGTTTGGGGAATAAGTTTATCACCTTTGGCTAAAAATATATGGTCATATTTATAAAATAATGTGCAATCTCTCCAATGCTGCAACATGTGACAAGTTCTTAATATGACTATAAATGTAAGTGTCCCATTCCTGTCACTTATACATATATCTTAAACACATTTAGATTTTCAAACTACATAAAAGTAGACATACAGTATATAAAAAGAATTCTCCATAACTTGTAAAAGGTACATGATTGTTGCTACATAGCAAGTAAAGGAGTTTATGTATTGACATTTACTGTCTCCTTGGACAAAATCTTGTAATGACTCAAGAAATAATGGAGTCAATGCAAATCTTAAAGATGAATTTTGGTTAGACTATACAGCTACAGTTTTTGTGTTTGTCAAGGTATGAACAATTTGCTACTTTCATGACCTTACTTCATGCAGATAGGATGAGCACCTGGTGACTCCATGGACAGTGGATTAATTCAATATACTGTTGAATAAATTGTTAGAAACACTCTCATCATGAGTTCTGTTACATTGTAGCTATCTGCAATAATTGAATTGCATGCCATATCTACATGAAGTGACAGCATAGAAGCAGTGAACTGTTCATTGTTTGACATTTAAAAAGTGGTGCAGTCCAGTTTTTTTCTTGTGTTGGAAATCATAACTAAGACTCTACTTTAAAATAAATTCTATCAACACATAACACAGGTCCAAATAATGCTGACATCCTAGTTCCATTAGGACAATAATGTCTAAAAACTGGAAACTTTGAAGTTGACTGTAATAAATATGTTTTTGGGAGATGAAAAGCATTACAAAAATATAAAATATAATGCAGCTGACAGTTGCAGTGACATGCACCCCAAATTTACACTAAGAGGATAAAATATGAGATCACGTGAAAATCATATCAGCTATGCAGGGTACAGCAGATCTGGTAGGCATTCCATATGCTTTTTACAGTTAGTACTAAACCAAACCTGACAAAGAATACAAGTGCTACAAACAATGGGATGGATATGTCAGAAAATGCAGTTCAGCCACCATAAAACTGGTCTGACTCGCATACTTTTTCTATGATTCCTACAATACTCGCCTGCTGTGAAGGTTTACGGGTCCACAAAGGAAATCATGATGTATCTTGTTCCATTTGTAACTGGCAGACCTTCATGATAGTGGGTGAGACGACCAGGGTGCATGAGCAGCCAGCCCATTTTTGTGTTGGTTACTGAGCAGTTGTACCGGAGAAAGCGACAACCTCCTCCCTGGAACAAAACAGAGGACACCAGGAGGTCACTTCTCTCAGCTGAAAATGTCTGTACAAGATCTTTATTGACATTGAAAATACCCTTATTCTTACATGTTTCTGTTTCCTAAATACTATTACTAGTAGGTGTCTTGAATTTTGCAGACTCAATCTTTATAATATGTATTTTGCATATGGTGCAGGTTACTATCCTTGCAATATCATTTTAAATTCAATGACAAAATTAGGATCATTATGTGGACATATATACATTCTGTATATCATACAATCTTAAGTTAACAAGTGTCTTGTACAAGTGTGGGTACGAATCCTGGACATTCAGCAAAGATCTCAAACCATCTAACCAGTCCAAGAAACCACCCAAAGGCAAGAAACTTAACTTGAAGATAACTGTCAATATCCCCATCCCCTACAATATATACCATTGCTAAAGATGGTGAACTATTCAGCTTTTTCGGAGGCTTTATGGTAAATACATGCACATGTCTCATCTCTGACTTCTACCTCATTCACAAACACAGAAATCCTCAAATTCATTTTTGCAGCTTCACATAAAACTAGGACAAGTAAAATCTGATATTTTATACCTCTGGGCTTTTTATTGTTACTAGTAGTATATTCTTATATGTTGTATGTTATGAATAGTTGATGGTGTTGAATTTTATGTGTTAGATTTAGCATTCCAGGTTGTGTTAACACAGGTCAACATTTTCATCTGCAGCTTATAACATGTACCCATGAACTTATGAAATTCTATTTAATCTGCCGCACGGAACTCGTAATGAAACTCAGAATGACAACCAGAACCGTTAAAAATGAGACGTTAAAACCACAAATATTTCGATCGAAAACATAGTGACTGGGGTCCGAAATGTCACATACAGAAGCTTGCTCCTTATAGTACGTCAAATATACAAGGGTTTACAAGAAGTTGTAGTAATATAGGCACGTATGCAAAAGTTTGCATAATACTCATTTGCATACTTGTGACTCGCTACCTTTACCAGACACCGTGCCCCCGTATTGGCACTTCCGGGTTCGATCCAAGTAAAAAAAACACCATAAATCCGCAAAGAAATATATATTTTCACAAAAAAAAAGGTTCTTTGAATTGTGCATATTTTCACTGAATCTGGCTACACAGCCCTGGAAAACAGCGTTTTGGTGCATATTTAAAAAAAAAAGAAAGTATCGAGACCGGACACCCCTCTGTGCGAAAGGTCATACAAGTGGACCTGACTGATAATACTTTAAACACACCAAAGGTAAAAGGTTGCAACCATTGTCACGCTCAAAGGGGTGTTTTGAGGCCACAAAAGGCACCATTTTCCCGCCCGAAAACACATATACAATAAAAACAAAAGAATGTGCATCATCTAGAGCCCAATAGAAAAACATACACCGAGTGCCAAAAGAATCCATCCACCCAAACGCGAGAAACAGCTGCGAACATGAAAATCTAAATCTCTCACAAAGCCCTTCCAAGAGGATGTCTCCTTCCCCGGAGGCAAAAATAAACCAGGGACAAAACAGGACTTGTCTGACACTCCTGTACTTGGATGACTAGTATTTGGAGGAGGATCAAAACTTTTCTACAGTAGCTACATTTGTACAAGTACATGTGTGTGGAGCACAGTCTATTACATCTGAAGTACCAGATGAGTACGTCCCCTCTTCTAGCTTATGGTAGATGTTCAAAGTATGAAGAAGGTTCCATTACAATGCTGTAACACCTCTCATCTATTACATTGTAGTACATTTATATGTAAACGCAAGTGTATTCAAGGTACATGTATCGGTCCGAAAAAACGAAACGTCGGTGGACCGTTTTCTTGGACCGGAACAAAAATTCATACTTGATCACTACACACAAGGAGGACTGCCAGGAAAATGAACATCCAGCGTTAAAATAAAGAGATTTACTTTAGTTTCCATCTCTCTCATTTCGCAACAATATTTTTCCAGATTTTCGTTACCGACAGACATCTAGGAAGTGAGATAGGAAACCTAGTTATATCATCCATGGTTATATTTGATGTTCTTTGAAAGATACAGGACAAATTGTCAACACTTTATTCATGTTTCAGTCATTATTGAAGAATTTCAGTAGAACATGTGACGCGTGTGAATTTTCAGGTACAGGTACAGGTCCAGACCTGGACCTAAACCTCTGTACCTGTACCTGTACCTGTACCTGATGTTACGAAAAGGTACGCAGCCCTATATCTTACTGTACTATGCACTAAGACATGAAAATAACACTCCATACCTCATAGTCCACCCCAGCTTTGTTGAGAGCGATGTTGATAGTGAAGGTTGAGGAGTCATGGTGCGGCCTCAGGAAGGGCTGCTCTTGTGGATGGTAGCGGACCACAAAGTTCATAATTGCCTGAGCCTACAAGGTCACAGACAAGAGAGTTAAAATGAGTTAGCAGACATGTAAAATGACCAATACTCCCTGTGACTTGACAACAAGTAGAACGTGAGCATGCCTAAGGAACTACATTGATTTAGTTAATGAATCTAAGATGCAGTCAAACTTGCCTATGTGACCATCTCTATAATCCCACCATCTGGACATAACGACAGTTTTTTCTCTATCCCAATTTCCCCCATGGACGTAATCATTGAAGGTACTTGCCCAAGCTGACCACTTGTCCAATGTGAACATGACCAACACTATTTGGGACACATGGTCCAATCTCTGCCCAAGACAACTGCGTCAGTTTCAAGGATGTGACGTTTTTTTATGATAACCAGGGAGATATCCAGTTTGCCATTGTCATTTCGACAGCATAACAATGGCCCCAGCTTGGTCACTTTAGGGCAGTCTATTGTAAAATGGCTGGAAATTTGCTACAGTTTGCACCGGTGCAATAGCTCAATTGGTAGAGTGCTCGCTTTGTAACCGGGAGGTCGTGAGTTCAAACCCCAGCCGGGTCATACCAAAGACTTTAAAAATGGTATACACATATGAGAAAGAGTGTGGGAAGGTCAAACACACAGCACTACCAGCGGACCAGCCCCCTGCTGTAGTGCCCTGCACAACTGTGTGTCGCCCAAGGGCTACGGAAATGGACATAGGCACCAAACCCTATGCTCTGCATAGAGCACGGGAGACCTTTTTTTTTCTCGTACTCTGTCTTGGCACAATGCTTTTTTCTAACCAGTTTTCCTATGTCCTCTCTGTGGTCGTCTTAGACAAGTTTGACTGTAGTTGTATTACTAATGAATGCAGCTGCTACTAAAGCAGAAGGTAATGCTGATCTTCATGAATGACCTCCTCTCTTCTGGAACCTGATGAACAGTGATAAGAGTTGGGAGCATACAGGGAAAACAACATCTGTTACCATGCCATGAATACAGAAGTGAAGATAAAAATCTAAAGCCTTGTGAAATGCATTATTTATGGCTAAATCTGTTCCGCAGTCTTCCTCATGAGTCAAGTGTCATCCCTGGTCAGACGTGACCTGGAGTCCTGGACATTACCTTTTGTACCTGGAGGGTTGTCCGTGTCCCACTGTCAAGACTGTCAGTCAAAGCCGTCGTGATTTAAATGATTTAAGCAAGTGAAAGCACCAGTGCAGCTTTCTGCAGTTGGAAAGACTAGTCAAGCAGTGGCTGCTGGCCTGGATAGAGAAGCTGCTTTGATTGTAAAGCAGACTACACAGCTAGGAGAAAAATATACTTACCTGCCAACTGTTTGCAATCAGAACTCACCCTAGACAGGTACCCTTGGAAGACCTTTGCCTGCAGCCTAGTTACATATACCCTCAGGAAATAAAGCCACTCGCTTTCGTATCCTATCTGGTTCATATGGATGTCCACCGTTGGAACATTTTCGTACCCTGTCGTCAGTCGTGGGTCCTAATGGTTAGGAGATAAAGATGCTCCACTTTTAGATGATGTTACTCACCATGGAGAAGTAACCTGGGAAGACTTTGAGCTGAAGCTTACAGACATAATCCTTCAGGAAGGTCAGCCACTCCTTTTCAAACCCAACCTGTCTCATGTGGATGTCTACGGTAGGCACATTCTCGTACCCTGATGGGAGCCTCTGGTCCTGATGCAAAAAAAAACTGGTTTTTATGTGGCCACACACACACACACACGTACTTACCTCAGAGTAATACCCAGGAAATACTTTTTCTTGTAGTTTTGTCACGAACTCCTTGAGGAAATGAAGCCACTCGCGCTCGTAACCAATTTGATTCATGTGAATATCGACTGTTGGTACATTTTCGTATCCATTGGACAGGCGGGGATCCTATGGAAGGAAAATACTTTGTTACAGGAGACCAGGAGACTAAGAAACAGGAGAAAAAAAAGGATAAATACAACCCAGTCCACCGCACACCAATCTAAAACCAAGGTTAAAGCACTACTGTTCAGTTACTGCAGAATGATATCAAGTGGTCAAAGCACAACCCAACCAACTACACCCAGGCCTGATATGCAGTGTACATGAGGCAAGGACCTTGTGTAACACTCAAGAGATATTTTCTATCAATTGTGAATTAAGACTTAGTGGAATAACTTAAGACTTACTTTATGTTTTCTAATTATGATTTGTAGAAAATGTCTTCTGAGTGTTACACAAGGTCCTTGCCTCATGTATTTTGGATATTAGGCCTGGTTGTAGTTAGTTGTAGTGTTTAGGCGAACCGTCATGTAGTCAGTAGGTCTTAAATTTATTCACACCTCTACTCCAGGAATAATAGGGTTTAATGTATATTGAAGTGACCATTCATAATAGTTAGAGGAAACAAAAAGTACAATTTAAATAAACCAGGCACCATCTACAAAACAAAAGAGAAGTAAACAAAGCTGCAGAAGAAGAAAGTAGAATGAAACATAACACACATGAAGGTAAAACCAAGGGTAGTGAAGTATACTAAAAACATCATACATGACACAATTTATCACAAGAAATTTTATCAGGTACATGTTAATTCTATCAAGTCAGAAACAGCAGTCATATTTCTACTTCTGACTAATTTTTCTCAAATGCAAACCAGGCAGGCAAAGCTAAATCTAATATTATAATGTCTGGAGACATGTTATGGACACACAGTCATGCAAACATGTTACATTTCACAACTACAAGAAAAAAGAATCAATTCAAAAATCCTTAATAGTGATCTGGCAGGCCATGTGGACCTGATAACTGACCTCATTCTTCCCACCAGACCACTCTCCATAGTTCTCCATCTCCTCCACAAGATGATTACAGAAGGTTTCTGTAACTATTGGAAACCAGTACACATCTGGACATGGCTAGGGAAAAAAGGAAAACTCATCAGGGCTACGCAACATGTCAACATTCATCTACACAACATTACCGAGCACGTCAGCAGTACGTACTGCACCTGCGCAAAACCTGTAATGTACATATTCGCATATATAATAAGGTTAACATCCCATCTGTAATGAGTGTTTGCGACTTCTTTGCAGCAACACTTTTATGGATGACATCAGCGCACGCATCAATTTTCGCCTGATTTTGGAAAAAATAAACAAGAAATTTTGTTGCCCTCTGGCAGTGGTCATCATAATGAAAATGTGTAAAATGGCCTGTCTTGCCGTATTGGATGGCAGATAAATATGAAGAGGGGAGACAAATCCACTGAATCAAAACCATTTGATTGAAAACTTTTATTTTTTATTTTAGGGAGAAATGGATGTTGTAAACAGTTGGTAGTAAACTTGGCACGACATATCATATAGCTACCATTTCTTGTTTAACAAGGTTTATGGTGTTAAATGTGAAAATGAAGGAATCTTGTTTTTTTGGCCTGCCTTGTTTTTTTTCGCCTGCTCGCATTAGATTTGGAGTCTGTGGAGGATGTCATCCATAAAATTTACGTGCTGTAACCTAATGTACCGTCATGTACATGTGGTCTTCTGACTATAATTTCTTTCATGCACTAACACACAGCTGGGTGATGCATTAACTAACACTGGTCACACCAATCTTAGTTGTTGCTTCAACACGTTTCTTCCCAAACTGTGACAAAGATAGCTAGTAATAGGAATAGGACCTACCATTTCCACTTCTGTTTTAGGATCCAACATCTTGTAGAAGTCTGGGTGAATATACTTTTCTTCCCAATCCTGAAAGAAGTGAATGTTTACATTACACTGTACACGTTCATTGTTAGTATCCTATAATTCAAGATGAAACTTTGTGATTTATTGCCTTTTATCAGTACTGTAACATAATACAAAAATGTAGGTTGATACTCCTGTGCTGAAAGTAGTGTGTTATATTGTCCAGCTGCAATGTGTTACACTGAAAGCCATATAATAGACATATATACAGAAGCTGATGTGTTACCCTGAAGGGTGGTTATACTACCATACAGACATATATACAGAAGCTGATGTGTTACCCTGAAGGGCGGTTATACTGGTTATAAAGATACAGTCCGATCACAAAATGTATTTCCCCACTTTCCCCATTGACCTCTTGTGGGTCATCAGGCTGCTGTTATGATTTTGTTGGCAAACAAAGTCAACATCACAGAGGTTTGTTTAAAGTTAAAACTTTTGTTCCAACAAAAAACATTCTCTCACCTAGAGCTTTCGACCACATCCACATAGAGTCACCCGGACATTTTGTTTCACTTGACACTGTACAGTAAGGATTTTGACACTGTAACTTAAGGACTTTAGACACTGAACAAGACTATTTCTTGAGAGGGGTGAAGAAAGCCATATACATCAGGGCCCATCACCCTACATTGAACCGCGTTGACATCGTCTACCAGATACCTTTGACCCAGTGTTGACGTCACACTTCAAAGAAGCCACGTGACAAGCTTCACTGGGTCAGTCTACTGAGGAAGACCAGAGTGAGTGGTCGAAAGCTCTAGGTGAGAGAATTTTTTGTGTTAGAACAAAAGTTTTAACTTTAAACATGTAACTACCAACACAGATGAACTTTCATGATCACAGAGGTTTGTGTCCTAAGGATTCTTGTAGCAAACTATATTCAGGGAGTCTACAATTATTATATGAGACAACATTTACACAGATGTGTTGGTGTAACATTTTACCAAGGTACTACTGAAAGTCAGCAGCGGTGTATTATACTCACAGGTCTGTTGTCATAGATCTGCCACATATCTGGATGCAGGTGCTCTGTGCTGTAGCTGGTTGTTGTCGTAATCCGACCAAAAGTATCCATGTTGGTTACATACATGAAGATACCCTGAATTGACATGCAAAAAATGGGTATGTTGTTAAAACAGAAAACTTAAGATTGTGCACTTTGAGCACACAGGAAAATCAACAAATCCCGCTAGGCAAACGTAGGGCTATCTATGTGACTTTTGAATAATTTATAGTTAAAGAGGGACACAACTTCAATGTCTCAGTCAAGTTGTTCCAAACTGTGGGACCCCTGCACATGCACATGTAAATTGTTGAGTACATTTTGCGTTAATTGGCATGTAAGGCAGGACAACTAGGCAGGGCTCAAAAGTTATTTTTTGGAATAGATGCACTGATGCACCGGTCCCATTCTAAAAAATTAGGTGCAGAAATTCTTCGGCTGCACCATATAAAACGAAACCTAATCATAGATCTTACTGCTCCTCTTCTGAGCTTGAATCTGACTTCAAAATCTTAAACAAGTACTACAAAGATTCTATTATTTTTCTGACACTTAGATGCCAAGAATATCCTGTATACTATATTACATTTCACATGACAAAAATACCTACAGAAATATTTGGGTGCACCAATGCAACCACAGAAAATAAATTGGGTGCACAGCTCCAATTTTGGGTGCACTAATGTGCTTTTACAGTCCTGTTATCATCCAACTAACCACACAAAATTCTGGGTAAACATGTTGAGAACTCTGTATCCTTGTTAGATTAGTAGTAAAAGTGGGGCCAAAATTAATTCTAGTTTGACTGACCTTCTCTCTTAGACTGGCACAGAAGGCCATATCTGCATCCAGCTGACCCACTATAAAACTTGGAACAGTCTTAGGCTGCTGAAGCAGACTTCCATGGATCAGGTACACGTTGTTTATGTAAGGCACATTCCACACACCTCTGGAAAAAAATCCGAGAATAGCATTTGGGTACAATGTTGAACAGCATTGTGGTGTAACAACAGTCGTGTGGTGTAATGTGACGTCTTGTGGTGTAGTGGTACATCACTGGACTATGAAATGGGGAGACCCGGGTTCGATTCTGGGTCGTACCCGAACAAGTCCGAACATGCGCCGCGACGTTGTACCCTTGGGAAAGGTACTTTACACGACTTTCCTCACTTCACTCAGGTGAAAATGAGTACCTAGCTTCGGTTAGGGCAGTCTTATCGGATGGGACGTTAAAATGGAGGTCCCGTGTTTGAGGAGAGACACACCTCAAGCACGTTAAAGAACCCACGTGAGCGGAAGTGGAACAAACCATTATGGTCTAAAAAGGGGTAGGGAATTTTCCCGACCAGCCTCGTAACCCCTGCTTCTCCTATTGGGTCAGTTAGTCCTCACTACTTGTGAAAAATTGGGCTGGTCTCAATCATGATGTTTCTGACTCAGGGAGAAGAGTTGCTGTTACAGTTCTATACCTCTAGCTCTATGCCTAGAAGTGGCCAAGGGCCTTGCATTGAGCGACACCGTTAAAAAAAAAAGCACTGCAGCACGAATACTGCTCATTGCACTGATTAATACAATTAGCAAGACAATGACTATCAATCTACAATCATTATATACCTTCCCTCTTGCTCCTTATAATATGCAGTATTGTGCATGTACATGGGCTGTTAAACAAAGATTCCCCCTGATCTGCTCCCACATGTGTACATGTACTGTGGGATGTCCCATCCTGACCAGAGGTGTACACAGCTTTTGCAGTAATCTAACTCAGGCCATATTGACTATATGGATGACGTTGGCGTGTGCATGGATTTTCGTCTGTTTAAAAAAAAAAAGGTTTTGACCATACTGTAAATTGTACAAAGCAGTGGAAAAATAAGCAAATATATGCTGTAAATTGGAAAAAAAAATATTGGAAAATGATACTGATGCCATAGAATGCCAAAATGAATTCCAAGGGAAAGGTAGAAAATGTTAAGAAATAAAAGATATACTCTGTGTGTTAAGTCACTTGTTCAACCTTCATAATAAAGGCAACTTTTTTTTGCCAAACTTTTTTTATTCACACGTTCACATCAGTTTTGGGGTTCCCAGAGGATGCCATCCATACAATCAAGTCAACATGGCCTTACCAAGCTGTCCCAGCTTATCTGTCATGTAAATTAAGAGCTTGTTCTTTGATACTGTGATATCCTTTACTGCACAGTAACTAATAGTCCCACCATTGTCCCTGGTACAAAATGTACTTTAATTAAGCATAATAATAAACATGTCAACTATCTGTGTTCAGCAACGTTGCAGAATGTCAAACTTTTCTTCTGAAATTTGGAAATACTTTCTGGAAATACACAAGCCTCCATACAAGTACATGTAACAATGCCTGTATTTACAGCATCCCCACCTAAAGACTTCACATAATGATTACAATTACGCTGTGCTTATGATATTACATTAGCTGATTAACGCATTGATTTTATGACATGTGTTGATTTTATGACAGATGCCTGGCATGTGGCAACAAGAAAAAACATTTTTCTTCTAGGGATCCACGCTGTTTTTTTTCCGTATTTATATATCACTATTAAGATCATACATATATGGTGGAAACTGTTGAACACTGCTGTGACAAAATCTAACATTCTATCAGGGATTATTCCCTCCCCAAGTTATACATGCATGAAGATACATGTAACAAGGGGTCTGACTTGTCCATTGCAATTGTTGGTTCCTTCTATCACAAAGATTGAAGAAGATATAAACAGTCCTTACTTTTTGGTGCCCTGCACAATGTCAATGTAGTCGTCCGATCTTGCATAAAAGCCGTCATCACCAATTGCACCCCAGAAGTTACTCCACAGCTTGCCATACTTGGTCGCCATGGGGGCAATAACAGACCTGCAGGACAGGAGGTCAGGTGGGAGAAAGGAAGAACAGGAATGGACTACAACAACATCGGAAGTTCTCTGTCAGTGAGTCGGAAGAAAACTGCCATCTTTATCAAACACAATTCACTTTGCTTTCTCTTTTACAGGATTCCAAGTCAAAACCAAAACTTCGTAAAACTCACTCACTGTCTGGTTTATTGTCTGTTGTTCCCTGTCTTCCAAGGGTTAGACGTTTCTTTATATTCCACAATGGTATAGGAGTGGCTCTGACTTTAACAGCTGTGTGAAATAAAACAACCTTACAAATTCACTTCATCTGAACTTACCTGTTCTGCTCGATTAGGATCTGCAGAGTCTTGGGGTTGGTAATCTGTACGTCAGCGTCCACTGATAGGTAGTAGTCACACTTGATACCAATGCATTCAGATCTGGATAGAACAAAGATACCAAGATCTCACAAGTATTATCTGTACCACCTTTCCATATTTCATACTGCTGCATTATAATTACCTTTGTTATGAAGGTTATGTTTCCATGGCCATGCATCTGTGAACTACATATCTTGAGAATTTTGTGGATGAATCTCAATAATTTTCGGTATGTATGTCAGGGTTCTCCCCAGACGATGGAACAAGGGCGCTGCGCCCTGATACTCCTAGCTCAGCGCCCTCATACTCATTTTCAAATCTAGGGTGTTGCATCCCGATTTTTCTACAAAATTTCGCTAAAATTCGATAAAATTTCCTGATTTTGGGGCTTAGTGGCGTCTATTTTCCTGCCGGCATTGTCTCTGAAAACTTGTGAATGGGGCGATAATCGAGTAAACAATGAGTATTTCGCACGACGCTACTGAGAGAATCGCTGTCATTGGTGGAACATCGGGCGCCTCGCTAGCGTTTTGAAGTCGTGTAAAGAAAGCTAATTGTCTGATTTCTTTGTAAACCAAAGCCCTCGACCCTGATAATAAGTTTAAAAACAAAAGCCGATACGTTTACGAACTTATAAACCGTAGAAAATTCCCTACCGTACCGCGACGACATTATGAAGCATGTGGCGGCCGCGAAATTCGTTGACGCGACAGAAAATGTCTGGTTCATGATAGCGGTATTTCCCATGAAAATAACGTATACGATTTATTTTTCCCCTGCTGTCGGTTTTTAAGTCCCGAAACGTTAAAAAAAGCTGAATTTTGCCCACAAACCTGGACGGGGGACGGCCTGTACCTATCGGCGTAGCACATGGCGGCCGCACCGCAAGGCTTCTGCCAAAAATCGGCAACGCGACAAAAAAATGCATGGTCCATTTTAGCGATATTTACCATAAAAATAACGTATGTGGTTTATTTCTCCCATGGTATGAGTTTTAAGGTCTCAAAACCTCTAAAAAAGCAGAAATTTGCCGACGAAAACGGACGGGCAAGGCATGGGGAGGGCGCTGTTGACGCCTGCATGACCCCCAAAAGGTCGAAGGTCATAGGGCACGTCCATTGCGCAATCACCTTAATTCGCCGATTTAGCTTATTTTAGGGACGTTTGAAAATTGATACAATCACATTATCGACTTGTAGACAAGCAAAGGGATAGAAACCAATAAAATGTTGTGCAGATTAATATTTTTTT